CCCACCGCGCCCCGCGTTCCAAAATGTAGGTGACCTCACCCCTTCGCCCCCCGCCTGCCTGCCCGCCCCGCCTCGTGCGGCCGTGCGCGTGCAGTGCGGGGCCCACCCCTTAGCCTTAGGGCGCCCCTCGCAGAAGTAGGTCACAGGCGTGAGCGCCGGGGCCGAGCTCTACAGGGGCGGGTCCAGGCTGTCCCAGCGCGGGGGCGGCGCGGGTCAGGGCTACGGTGCGACAAATGCTGATGCCACGAGTGATTGCAAGAGCCAAGAGCGGACGCGTCATGTCGCCACGGCCGCTGCAGTGCAGATTGAAGCAGCTCCGCCAGGCACAGCCGATTACTGGTAGGGCGGAAAGATATCAGAAGCCTCGTTAAAGTTGACAGATATGGCGTAGGATCGCGTCTGATGTGGTTAATCATAGACACAACGGCAATCAGCTGTGTTCCGAGCGTACGCGGAATGGAAAAGGAAGGGGGGGGGGGGGCGTCGTCATCCCTGTAGGCGACCCACCGTGCATATCGCCCCAGCTGGTTGTGAGGCGTATGCAGGCGCGCCGTATAGAGGTGCAAAAGGTTCTATGAAGGCTCGAGATCCGGATGGAGCGCGACGCGATGCAACTCGGCGGAGCAATAAGTACAACAGAGCAAATGTTTCACGATCGCAGCAATCGACAGACCCGATACCTCCACGAGAAAAACTAGAACTTTTGTCAATTGTTGGTCCAAGATTAGGGAAACATATCTCACAGGAGTTATTTTCGATATGTCGCACCATTTGGTGTCATAGTCGGGGCCGTTTTTACGGCAAATAATATTCGACATTTAGTGGGTCCCCATAACATTTCGACAAAAACCGACTCGATATCCGAATAGAGGGCAGAAAGGGGTAGAAAAAGTGTTTTTACAATAAAAACATGAGACAAGGTCGAAAAAAGTTAGTAAAAGTTGAAGTTTTACCTGAGTATTAAGTATTTATTTAAGCATTAAGAATGGTTTTTTTAACGGAATAAAGCGGCCGGGGTGCATACTCGCAAGGGGGCCGTAAGGCGCCCTGGCGAGCGACGAAAGGCAAGCCCGCCCGCACGCATAAATGCGGTACAGCATACGCAGAAAAAAAACCACGGATCACCCACCCTGTGTGGCTTAAAATGTAGCTTGAACCGTCTTCTAAATGAAATGGCAATCAATAGAAAGTATTTTTTGTCGTTCTCGAGATATCACATTTCTTGTGAACCTCTGCACGTTACGCTCCTAGGCACCAGCACTGACGCCATGCACTGGCACCACCCCAACTTAGTATAATTCTCAGTTGAGGGTTGGTAGCGCCTGCCACGCGCCAGGTAGGCCACCGCCAGACAGCCGTGTCGAGACTGTTGCCTATCCCGAGCGCCTGTATGTTCTCCATACCGCCCCACGCCCCCATATCGCTCCTAGGCTCCTGCTTTCTGTACGCACCAGAGACCCGGGCTTCCAGGCTTCGCCCCGCCCCCAACCCTTTAGACTGTACCGCACGCACGAGTGCGGGCGGGTTGCCTACTCGGCAGGCGCCCCGGGCGGGGCGAGTCTGACACGTGGTAATCCATACGGAACTTGTTGGGAAACTAGCTTAATTTCTTTGGTCATTCCGTGGACAAGTCTGCACTGATAAACCAAGTGTACAACTGCTCAACACTTGCAAGTGTGCAACCACAAGTTCAATACTTGCAAGTGTTCAATTCACTTGCAAGTGTTAAACACGGTATTTGTGCACTTGTAAGTGTTCAACTCTCCTGTTGTACACTTCACCAGTTTGGGTGCTTACTGAGGGAAGTGTTCAACAGAGGAGTTGCACACTTACAAGTGCACAAATACCGAGTTGAACACTTGCCAGTGTACTACAACTAAATTGAACACTTGCAAGTATTGAACTTACGGTTGCACACTTACAAGTGTTGATCAGTTGAAGACTTGGTTTATCAGTGTGTGCTGCCGAGACTCTCGAGATGTGAGGCGCAGCAGCAGCCATACCGCCCTGGGCAGCAGGTGGGGCCGGTGCGGGGGCGCGGGGCGCAGGTGGGGGTCACGGGCAGCGGAGGGTGGGATCAATGAGGGTAGGTGCGGGTGCGAGGCCGGGGCGACAGGCCAGCGGGGGGGCCAACGCAAAATAACAAGTGGCCGTGTTGCTCCGTATTGATTGGGCCGCTGGGCCGCTCACCGCTCACGTGTCGGGCACGTGTCGGGCAGGCCTCGCCACGGCCTCTACTCGGCTGTGGCTCTCACACCTCGCTCGTCTCTCGCGCCGCGCCGGGGCCAACGACACGAGACCGAGACCCATCGCCACCAGCGATTAGTCAACCAACCGTGCGCGGGTCGGGCGGGGCCGGGCCGCGAACACGAATGGGACATGCGAGTGTATCTGAGTATACATCTCGGTGCGCTCGTGTGTGTGTGTGCGTGTGTGTTTTGTGTTAGTGTGTGTATTCCGGTCCCCGGCCTTCGCCCGCGCAGCAGTGGGGCGCGTGCAAAATGCCCCCCGTCACCCGGCCCCGCCGCTCCACCGGAAATGGGGCAGAGGGGATGAACGATAATGGGATGCTGGTGGTGCTGGTGCTGGTGCTGGTGGAGGGGGCAGGTACAAGACAGCGGGGAGCGCAGACGTTTTACGTGCTCCGCGGCGGACAGACCGACGACTGCGTGCTGCAACCGTCCATCCTCGCGACCAACGCGCTAATGTGGCGCGCCGGGGCGGGGCGGGGCGGGGCAGGTAGGCGCGGCCGCCGTGT